CAGAGGTTCTGAATGACAGCCGGGGACACTGAAGCCATGCAGAGCAGTCTATGGCACGGGTCGATTAATGGTGCCATAGGCATTGACCAGGTCGATGAAGAAAACAAGTGCAGCTCATTCCTGTATGTGTGTGAAAGCGCGTGTGTGTGTGTGTGCGTGTAAACGATGTAAAGTATATAAAGACAAAGATCCCCTGAATAGATTGTAAGGACAAGTACTGTTAGCAAACACATATGAACGGTACACGGGGGAGTGGGTGGCCAGCACCGCACACGACCGCTTTTATCTCCCCAGTGTCAATATTTACATGCCACACCAGGTACTCATTTGAGGCTGAGTCGACTTAGGGGAGGCCCAAGACCGCTCCAAATAATTGTCACCGATGTTGGTGGCCGTGAGTGGTAATCGAGCTCGTGTCGCCGGGTTCATAGTGCAGCGCTCTAACCGCTGCACCACCACTCGCCGTAAATAATTATTGTATACTACACGTGTTTACATGGGACGCCCTTGCACTATTTCACCCCCATCTGGTGCCAGCAGCCATTTGAATGTAGAATGTACAGACAGTACAACCAGCTGAGTTGCCTTCCACGACACAACAGCTGTCTGTCATGACTCATGTCTAATCACACACGACCCGTTACTGTTGGGCTCGATGTTATTGCCTGTGCTTGAATACGAAATCTACATCTCTGCTATTAAGAAGGGCCATTGGACGAAAGGTCACTTATATTTCAATATACAGTCATGGTTTTTTTTAAGGCAGTGTTATCGATGAATGTGTTGAGTTTTTGTCTAGTTATTGGGACTTGTGCACGACTGCGAATGACCCATTATCACGAAACAGCACCAACAAAGTGTGTGTTACACACTTTCCTGTGTGTTACAAAATTTGCTGTGTTTGGGACTATACCTTGTAAGGTATACTGCATATCACTTCCAAGAGCCAGTTTACTTATCTTTTTTTTCTTCTTCCATTATCTCTTATTTTACTCCCATTGCCTTGTAAACAACTTGAAAAAGCCGCAGTGTATGCCCTGGCAGGCACACACACACACAGCGCAACCCATCTGCTGTTGTCTTTTAAGAGCAGCATTGTGAGACTGCCCCATCTGTTCGTGACTCATTTTCAAACCACACTGCAAACCCACGCAGCACTTTCACACGTGTTTGTTCACTCACGCCCGTCTCCGTGTCGCATTTTGAGATTGTTTAATCCTGTTTCTTGAGCTAAAATCGAGATGATTAAATCTCCGAAAATCACGATGAGCTCTTTTTTGGCCCATTTGTAATTCGTAACAATTATTATTATCCATTGTCTAAATTCGCAAATTGCAGTATAGCATAGCAATCAGCAACGTGCACATAATGTATGCTCGAGTCGCGCCTTCCTGCTATGTGTAAGCACACCTTTGCATTCTATTCGTAGTATGTATGACGGGTCACGATGATACTGAGAAAACGTTTTTTTTTTCATCTTAGGTAACTAGGGGAGTGGGTAGCCCAGTTACAACAAAACGAAGATAATGCAAAACACATGTAAATTAGACCATGAAAAGATGTATTGTTTACTTGCGCTGGAATGGGGGTGAAGATTTAGATTGCACCATCTTGTTCTTTATTGACTTCTAAAGTAATTTAGTTTACTTACCAACGGGAAACATGGGCGCTGAGTCACTGACCATTTCTGAGTGAGGAGCAGTTAAAGATCAAACCAGGGTGGGTAAAGATACGTTGTTGTATTTTCACAAGCAGAGTTCATCCACACCCCAGACGAATGTTGAAACCTCAACTTTGCAAAGAGCAGCAAGAACCTAAGGATATGTTTACAAAAAAAACACATCTATCAAGATACGCATATAGAGCATCACATTGCCGCTGAACATTAAACCCTTGCAGATGTCAACGCTTCATTGTGCATGCTGCACAAGGCTGCTATTTCTCGTCGAGGCCAACACATTTCACGCGTTGGCCCTGTGCCTTTCCTTCCATAGCAGCTGCCACGCACAGTCATAAAGTTATCCTAATGGGCAATATTCCCAAACAGTTTTCATTCAAAGCCCCCAACCCCCTCGCCCAACAAATAGTTTATTTTAGTTTTTTGTTGAAATCACGATAGCTTTCTCAAATGTGTTATGAAAGCGCTAATTTGGAATAACTATATGAATGCCGTATATATCACACGCTGCTGTGTAATATCCTCGTAGTAGATGTTGGATAGGTCCATACGCAAGCTTTGACCTTCTTAAATGCCATGCACCGAGCCTGTTGACATTTAGTATGTATGAGGCTTCTAGCCGAAAATGCACCATTCCTAACTTATTGGCGTTCACTGGTAAAAATCCCTTGATAAACATACTTCTTGCATTTTCTCCAATTCCCTGTACACTGCATATGTTTCGTTGAAGTCTCGTAGTTGTGCGTTGCCGTTGACATCGCTTTCTTGCTAAAATAGCAATGTGGACGTGACGAATTAGCATTGGCAGATCGAGTCCCAAAACAAATGGGCCTCTGTAGAACCGTGCACAGATAGCCCAAACTTCTCTGACCGACAGTTCTTTGCAAACACCATGAAAACTTAGGAAGTAACAAGGAGAAGCAGGACAACTTTAAATGTAAAATATACACTGTACATCCATCTCTTAAAACCAAATTTTTTTAGAGCTTTATTTATTTTGTTTAACCAGGTGAGAACTTAAGACACAAGGATAGTCTGAGTCCATTGGTCGCCCAGACCAATACTTTTTTCCAGTAGCGTTTGTTCGAGCTAGCAAACAGAGTGCCGGTTTTGACTACTTGGGCTTATTAGCAGAGTTTGTCTGATCTGCCACTCGATTACCTGTGACTCTTATTACAGATGTAGGGTCTGAGAAAACTCCTATTACACACATCCTCTCCTATCCTGCATTGCGAACAAAACAATTGTTTAAAGACAAATGGATATGATTGGAAAATGCATCATAGTGTATGCTTTCACGTAAAAAAAATGCAAAAACTGGAGTAAATTTCAGATAACATTGCAGATAGTAGGATCTATATTGTTCGTCCCCACATCACCGTGGACAAGAGGAGTTCTGATGTCCTGCTGGGCCTTCAGATGCTATCAGCACGAGCATTCCATCTTCACAATGAAGGCCCATTCAGCGATATTATGCAACAACCCATTATGGGCTGCTGTGTAGGATCTTGGTCTAATAAATTCAACAAGCATACATACTCTTCTGTACATACATCTCTCCACACAAACACGAATCCTCCTTTAGGCCATCAGCCTCTTGGTTCTCCATAACACTGTTATGTAGCAGCATTCGTTCAAACAAGTAATAGGCTGATAGACTAAATATTACAATGGTTTATAGCGAACGCAATTTACCTTCGAACAAAAAGTGCCTTGTAGATTGTAATGTTTACAAGGCGTACACTATTTGACATGTGCAGTACATTTCAGCGTACATTCATAAAGCACTCATTGTAAACTATATCACCAAAGTGAAAGATGTATTATCTTGCGTGTGATAATAATGGGAAAAAGCAAAAGCTTTCTGAGCTGCAACAGCAGCCTAATAGATTACACATCTTTACAAACTCCAAAATTGTATTTACACGCAGAATCCACCACAACACCTGTGATTTTGTTTATTATAACCCTATTGTCACAATCATTGTCTACCATTGTTATATGGTGTGCCATACCAAAATATTACTAGTTGCACAAAGGATAGTAACATCTCATCCTGTGTTCTTGAATCTGAATATGTCTGTGTAAATTTTTTCCTTAACATTTTCCAGGTGAGATAACAGAAGCCGGATTCTGCATGAATAATTTTCTCAGAACCTATCCGACACCACTTATGATGGCATTTGCAGCTGTACACAAACTGTTTAATGAAAACAAATGTAAATGCCTTCCATAATTACATTCTTGCTAATAACACCAAATAGTTTTTTCATTATTATCTATTCCAGTAACTTCTGGGGACCTGTAAATTGTAAAGAAATATGATTTACTCTTCCAATATAGTGTAATAAAAGCACAGACATAGATATTTTCTGGGAGTAATTGGTTCACACGTTATAATTGCACCCGTGGTGTTTTACGGTACGAATTGCATCTGAAGTCATTAAACGTGTCCCATTAGCACATGCAACCAGGCTACACTTTATATACCTATTAACGCAATGTCAACATTACCCAGTGATCAACATGTTGTTATTACCACCAGCTTAACTGGAGTATTTTTAGTTAGGTATTGCAAGAAAAACGCCGCTTATATTCAATGTTGACAATATTGCTAGATATATTCCATACGGCAAGGATCATCCGTAGTTTATAACGGCACTGCAATTAAAAACAAACAAATTAGCGGTTTATTTTTCATAGTGAATGTTGACGCTTAAGTAAAAAAACAAAAAAAATACTCCAGCTACTGTATTTCCTCACAACTGATGTTTTCATACTGTTCAGTGGCTTAAAATCAAGCAACATGCAGTTCCTCTCTCAGGAACATGCAGCAACATCCACATTGACCTTTTGCTTTTCATACAACAGGCACATAACGAAAACAATATATTGCTCTAGATTTGAAGCTTTCGTGACTGCAAAGATTCATACTCTTAATTTTTTCGGTAAAGTCACGTAGGTAAAAAAATGAAATTAAAATGTATAAAATAAAATAATAAAACATCATTATTTTATTTTATTAATTTAAATTTTAATTTTTTTAACTACGTGACTTTACCGAAAAAACTAAGAGCATGAATATATTGATCTTCGCGAAACAAACATAATATTCGATTAAGTGACCGTTCATAGATAGAAGACCCTGTTCTCTGCGATTATAAACTCTTGCACGATGGAATACGTTTTTATGAAACAGTTCATCAGTTTAAAGCAATACCATTCCCATCGCCAACATGCAACCCGCGTACGTAAAACAGATTTAATTCGAATCTCACTTTAGATCCGAGCCAGAGTGGTACATTGCTGAGACGCTACTCACCGACGACACTGGCTCCCTGCAGTCGGCTTGTTGCTGACTTTCAAACAAAACTCGACACACCTCGGATCGAGTGCCCCCAACTTTGCTTGCTACGCAGCGCGAGCACACGGCCAAACGATCATCCGTGCCGACCCAGGCAAGCGCTACTTTGACACTCTTCCCTGCTGTCAAACTGGCCTGGGAAGGGTAACAGTTTTTATTTAGCAGGTGCTGTTTATGGCACTTGGTTCTAAATTACAGGAAAACGATCTCCCTTTATTTATACACACATATGCCAAAGGCAATATTTAAAAAAAGAAAGGAAATTTGATGCTGGGGTGACTGGGGTTTTGGTTTTGAGCAATGGTGCATCAATTTTGTTTTGGTCGGTGAGTGCAAGAGAGAGAGAGAGAGAGCTGCCATGGTGCAGAGTACGTGCGAACGTGCATGCAGGGCACGCTGGCCGCAGAGATTGACGAAAAACGAATCACTCGCAAGAAAGGCAAAGAAAAAAACGTCTTACAGTCGGAGAGGCGATCGTAATTTTGAAAGCGATCCATTCACAATGATGTCAGTCCTTTTGAATCCACCGCCGGTGAATAAGGCACCCATCATAACATCGCCATTTGAGTGACCGTGCTTCAAAAACCCCTGCCTGCTTTTCGTTCTTTCTCTATCGCACATTGGGTCAAGGGCCAGATGCTGTTCAGATGTCACGCGCCACCGACGCAGGTGTGGACTCAAACTGAAGTTGCCCGGATTCATAACGAAGTTGCATGACCGCTACGATTGCCACCCATCGAATCGTGAAAGTGGCTGTACGAGGCAATGTTTTCGTTGCCACGTTCTCAACACGCACACGCACACACACACGCTGCACCGCTGCCAACGAGTAACGGTCACGCTGTTGTGTTACGCACGCATCCGGCAACACACGCCGTGTGTATCGCGTACATCACGGTGTGTGTTGACAATTTACGAGCGACAACATCTTCTTGCGTCACCGATATATAAGTAATGAAATAACAAAAAATGAAGACCCTCGGGAGAAATGTTCGTGCCATGATGCAACAGTATTTCCATCATGATATTGCTAATCTGTTTGGTGAAAGCCGAGCTTGTGCTTGAATTTTACCCCACCATCAATCACATTAATATTCCATATGCAGCCAGACTCCCTTAATTGGTTGATTTACATTAACCATCGAGCATGGCATGGTGTGTCCAGAATATGACTGACATACAGCTCTCCTGGCATGTGTGAAAACATCTTCTGCCAAGAATTCTTATTTTAGGTAAGTTGATCATTTTATATGTATTTACAGTATATTAGTAATGTTATTGGGGTTTTTTTTGTTACTTTCTATAAGACATATACCGAAAGGAATTGAGGAAATGGTTGAGCTCTGGCACAGTGGCTAGCATCAGTGGTGAGCGATATCTGAAAACCCCACTCTGGTAAAGTATGGTCAAAATAAAATCCACAATGTAAATGTTATGGGGAGGCCTTCATCCAGCAGTGGATTGATGAAGGTCTGTTAATCATTATTATTATTGAGTATTAGCCTCAAATGCAGCATTCGAGTTATTTCTACCAACCTATTTGTCTCGAGATAGCTAACCTTTACAATACTGTCCTTAATGTCCATGCAAATGTGTGGCAAAAACGTTAACATACTCTGCACTTGCATAATTACATGAAAATCTGTAGTCAATTTAAACGCGTTATTACCAATTTTGGTATTTAAATCACAATTTTCATAATGCTCCGCTGATGACAGGCACGTTGAATCAATTATATCCCGGTTGAATTATGTGGCTCATTTCCATGGTGCCTAATTACCTGGTTGTGGAAGAACAAAGTCAGATTTCAAACAAAGCTGGGAAGAATAAAATATAAACATCAGTAAGGGCCCCATAGAGTTGGACTCATTTGCCAATATCAACACTTCAATCACCCACATAACCATTTATAAATTACATAGAATGAAAGCCAGTTGAGTCAAAACTACTTACCTATATCATCACTCTAATTTGCATAGTGCTTTGCAAGCGACACATTAAACACACACATGCTAATATGTTGAGTGACGGAAATGTTTTTCATTACTCAATATAATACAGTTGAAGCCTGTTAAAATTCAGGTTCTACTGCCATTTTATAGTCGCATTAATCATACACTTGCACCATGCATCAGATGTTATGAATATATTACAAACAGTGCTGTATTATGTTTGTTCAATACCATATTCATTCCCCAAAAATAATATCACAAATTATCAAGGGACATCACGCTATTTTAAGCTTAAAATAACCGCAACCAAAGCTTTTTCCACATTCCCGACCAAGTAGTTCAATGCATTAATGCCGTGTATGATCTTTGAGGCCTGGGTCAAGAAGGTGTCTGATTTCATAACATCATTTTCTGGTCTATCGCTAAGAGTCACCCTGTAACCACCGTGCTATCTTCTAATACATTTTGAAGCCTGAGAGGACATCCCACAACGAGCGATTTCAAATTCTCTGTTACAGCTTCTGACAATTTTGCATATCCCAATTAATACACTGTAAATGTGACATTTCCATTTGTACATAAAAACTTTCTATTGGTGGGTTGCTGTAATGATGCATGAACTACTGAGTGAAACGTCAATCTTAACAAGCGGGTGGAGCCATTCACTAATTTGATGAGTAAAGTTGCACGAACTAAATGTTATTCAGTTTGCTAAGTGCATATGCTCAAATTGCAAAACGCGGTTTATAATTTGTAAATCTGATGCCAGTGCACGTGAAAGCAATGTTTCATATCACTGCAGTGTGATATGCTTTTATTATACTACACGTATAACATTCACTTTGAAAATGTGTATGAGAATTGAATATTAAATGTACGTTTAAAATGTTCCATTAAACAACAAACACCATTGTGCTTATTCATTACGTATTTTTTTAAAAGTAATCGTAGCATTCGATCTTGAAGAATCTAGTCCATTTTCCAAACTTCTAACAAGCTATGCACACACGTGAAGCATTTGGAACACTAAATAGAGACCGTTTAACATTTGCACAAAACATTTTGTCAAAGAGCCTGAAAACATAACACCGTTAATATTATGGCCTCACAACTGATTAAGCCATTCAATGAAGTAGCAACTCATACCTTCAAAAAATGACAGAACTAACCACAAACGTATAGAAGTTGCGAGCCTGGGACCACTTGCAAGTCTTCTCAAAGCTTCCCTCAACTGCTCCTCCAAGCAGCCCCTGCTCTGCTCTTTGTACAAGCGAGGGCATTTGTCCAGCACCATTGTTCCACTGTGGTCTTGGATTTGTTTTCGATGCACAGGCTGTCGCCTCAGATTTGTGAAGCTCCAGCAACTTCTGCCGCCCTCAATGGGCTCGGAGGCTTGCACAATGGGAGTTGGGGCACAAAGCGTCGATTGTTTGGTGAGCCACGCGCAGAGCTGTTCGCCAGCAGAGGGCCTGTGGGAACATTTCTGGGATTTCATTTTTTCTTCTTCTTCCAAAAGCAGGGCCTCTAGTGTGGTGGCACCGCGGTTGGCCTTTCTTGGGAAACACATTTGGTGAATTCGAACAACTGTTGGTACAAATCTGTGCACCATTTAATTATACGATAGATTGTTGCTGTTTGTATTCTGAACTGTGTCGTTGTGGTGCTCAAACTATCTTCGATTTATCCATGTGTGGCAAACTTTTTTTATCTTTGGGGAGAATTGTATTAAATATTGACTTACAGCTTTCGTGACTGCAGGAATTCATATTCTTTGGGTCTTTCGGTTAAGTCACGTAGATATGTTCAAAGAAAATATTTTAAAAAATAACAAAAAAACTACGACGTTTCGATGGCAACACAAGCGATCGTCATCAGGAAAAGGGGTGGGGGTCCCTTTTGAACCTATCTACGTGACTTTACCGAAAGACCCAAAAAGAATGAGAATTGTATAATTCGCCACTATGTATGATTTTCTGCTTACCATCATACGAAAGATACGTTTTGCCACACTTCCCCATTCATGATTTTCATACCATTAAATATGACACTAAAGAAAAGCGAAAATCATTTAACATTTAAGTCGAACTTATTGATTCCACTTTTTCCCCCAAAACATACTTACGGATAAGCCATTTTGCATTGTAGTTTGGAAAAAAAGTGGATATAATCATGTAAAACATATTATGAGATTTTGCAAACCCAACAGCTCCCGCGTAGATTAGAAGTGGGTAAAAGGGTCCCGGGTGAGGAGGAGTACTGCCTGTATGTTACATCTGTGCGTGGCTACCAAACCCACACTTTTTTTTTAGAAATATCCAGTTATCTCTGAAAACGTTAGGAATTAAAAACCCTTACAGCAGTGCAATGTGCACAGATGACCCCATGCAGTGGCTAGTACAATGGCGAGAAAATGAATGACGATACACTTTCGTGAATGAGTCTAACAGCTTTGGTGGGAGGTGGGCGGGAATGAGGTCAGGAGTTGAGAGGAGGTGCTATGATGAAAGAAGGGACATTTGGTGATACAGCAATCGTGCTGTGACGGTTCCACCTGAAGACGGAAGCTTGTATTGCCTCCGAAACATCGTGATTTTTATTTTATTTTACTTTAATGAATTTAAATTTTTTACCTACGTGACTTTACCGAAAAAACCTAAGAGTATGATTCAGGGGAGTTCTGTCTTCTGTGATGGGTATGGGAAGTAGGGGGCCGTCCATAAATGACGTCACGCACCTAGGGGGGGGTAAGACATTTGTGACGATGTGTGACGAGGGGGGGGGTTGAGAAATGTGACGTCACATCAAAATGCGCAACTTTCAATAAATATAGACAAAACGTTCTACTTAATTAAATAGACGTTTTTATAAATGTTTTCTCCTACAACATCAGAGTGCAGAGCTACATTAACGCTACATTAAATACGCACTACAATGACAATAGTGACCTCATTTGCCAGTAAAAATATGATAATTGGTTCTTTACCCTTCTATCTGGCAACAAAACTGACACCTTTTTGCAAGGAGTCATGTTTGTATAGACCGCAATACCTGCAGTCATAATACAAACAAAAGAACATAACTCTGTTAATGTGCACTGTCCTTGAAGTTGATTGGTCCACACCCGAGACAGCTTTCCTTCGAGCCTAGTCTCATATGGGTTGGACCAGATGACGCCAAAAGGCGCACAACTCAAGGACAATGCACCATCAGAGTATGAGAGCTCGGGGCAAGCATCTACACCTTGAGTTGTGCGCCTTTTGGCGTCATCTGGTCCAACCCATATGAGACTAGGCTCGAAGGAAAGCTGTCTCGGGTGTGGACCAATCAACTTCAAGGACAGTGCACATGATCAGAGTTATGTTCTTTTGTTTGTATTATGACTGCAGGTATTGCGGTCTATACAAACATGACTCCTTGCAAAAAGGTGTCAGTTTTGTTGCCAGATAGAAGGGTAAAGAACCAATTATCAATGACAATAGTTTAAAGCGATTTAAAGCATGTTTTATCTTCTTTTTTTTGGGGGGGGGGGCTTAGCTTTGTGACGTCATATTTGAGGGGGGGTCTGACTTTTTGTGACGCCGTGTGACGAGGGGGGGGGGGGGTTAAAAATCGTCCAAAATCGTGTGACGTCATTTATGGACGGCCGCTAGTGTGAGATACAGAGAAGACTATAAAGTTAAAGGGAATGTACCGGCAAAAAAATGTGATGGCAGAAAATAAGGAAAGATGGGTAGATACAAATATCCAGTTGGGGAAAAAAAAAACTGTGGGTGAGGATAAATGCACGAAAAGCGCATGAGTAGACATATTGCCTATCTTTCTTCTGTGTGTGTGTATAAATGGGAGCGGTAGTGTAGCGGTTAGCGCACTGCTCTACGAACCCGGCGACCTGCGATCAATTCCCGCTCACGGACAAACACCACTGACGATTATCTGAACCGGTCCTGAGCTTTCCCTAGGTCGACTCGGCCTCAAATGAGTACCTGGTGCGGTGTGTAAACAGCGCGGCCAGGGAGACAAAGGCGGCCGTGCGTGGTGCTGGCCCACTCACCCGCTCGTGTGACATGCCGGCCTTCATAGGTGCTCGCTAGCAGCACTGGCCTCAACAGTCTGGCGGGGGATCTTTGTCTTTGTGATATACAGTAGTGGCGAATGGTGGCTGATGTTGATGTACTGTGTACGGAAGACATGCGGGCCTTGCATCTGGCACCATTAACATATGTAATTTGAAGCTTGTTTCCAACGACTGCAACAATTTCAAATATCACGCGTAGCAGTGCCTGGTCGCAATATAAAGCGCTTCATTCAATATATTCTAAGCCATACAATGTTGTGGACCTGAGCTATCCTCAAAATATGTCCAGTATACCGTTTCTGTAATACTGCTATTTTCCATGTTCATGAGCGACAGTTTGTGGATTATACGAGTGTCAGCTTTTGTCACGATTAACTGTTTAAACTTATTGGCATGATGATTTGTTCTTTTCATGTACATTCCAGTCCATGAAAAGTCAAATTAAAAAAAAAAAATGTATAACCATAACCATAGCATATACGTGTGTAATGTATGCTCCTTAAATATGATAATCTAATTATAAAATTATATAAATGTACCAATACATCCCATTACTTTGCAATTCAAAGTTGTGTGAAAATGAAAATGACTGCCAAACTTTTTTCATCTCGTCTGTGCATATTTTGATGCAAACGGGAACCAAGTTGTGTTGCTTTTAATGGCTGACAATAGACTTATTAGGAGGCTGACGCTGCCAAAAAAAAATCAAGCGCCATCAATCCTTATGCTAATTCATTGTAAACCCACGCAACCTTGGCAGACAGTGGTTGAAATCCCAAACTCCTTGTGTTTTATCTGTTGAATGTGACAAAGTAACACGTGTAAAGAAAAAAAATCTCCATGAATCACTCCATATATATTTATTTAAACTAATATTTCAAACTGGTCGTTGAAAAAATCAAAACGAAACCTTGGTGCCAAACTAAGAACTAAATATATATTTTCGTAAAAAAAAGTAAAGGAGCAGCCCAGCAGGTACTTGCTCTTGCCACTGCTGGCAGAAGACCCTCCACTCTTTACTGGTAGGAACCTCCTGGTTACACCAGCCCACCGGAAATTATTGTGTCCGTCCGTCGTGCAGCGAGGGGCTGGGTGGGGAGGGTGGGGCTGGGTGGGGAAGGGGAGGGTGTGGAGGGGCTGGGTGGGGAGGGTGGGAGGAGTGGGGCTGGGTGGAGAGGGGCTGGTCACCCCGTGGTGCCCTTATAAGACTCAACGTTTAATCTACTCACGCCGGCTTGTGCCCGCCCTCACAGTCGGGCATATTTGCGGAATACACCACGCCGCCGTTGACCCTGGCCATTGACCGAGCAACCCAACGTTCCTACCAGCTCCCTCCGCAGGAATGTGTTACCCAGCGCTATTCATGATTAAAAATGTGTACCGTTGGGTGGACAGAGGTGGCGGAATTTAAGAAACCTCCACCTTTGTTTCAACGACTGTGCTGCAGCAGAGTGTAGCACAATATATAGATTCATATCGCCACTTCTTCCGCATCTAACACGATGCTACATCACTATTTGCATTGTATTGAATGTCGTGCAAAGTGGTCACAAAAGTGCTATTAAACCTTCAACCAATTTTTGATCACTATGCCAGCAACATCCATGAGCACTGGCTACTGATAGCTTATGATAAATATCCAGTGTTGGTCTGTTCCAACACACTCCCGTATACACTGCCGTGTTGATGATATTCGATCATTCGAAGCGTAACAGTGTGAAACTAAATGATGGTGAATCAATGGCCCCCCCATAGACCAACACAGGATATTAGAAAATAGAAAATTACTTGTCCAGAAAACATTCGTACCAAAAACACTCATCACAGTGTGCAGTGAGCTGTATTAACAAGCCCAAGGTGGTGGATAAGCGACACGCATTTCACTCCTGTGTATTCATCATAATCATCAGCCACTCTCTTCCCACTGGTGGATAAATGCCTCCCCACGCTGTCACAGTCTCTGCCGGTCCCTGTGCTGCCACAATTCATCTCACTCCCGCCCATGCACCGATCTCATTGCACCATCTCCACAGTGATGGGCATCATCGCGTGAGCATTCCCTCCTTCATCTGCCATTCTGTCTCCGGTCTCGTCCATCACCAACATCCCTTCTGCAATGCACTCTGCCAAATTTAATTGAGAGGTCAATATTCTTGGGTTTTTTCTAATAGTAATGAAAAAAAACCTCCTATCCAGGGGCCTGTCCTGGCTCCTCCCCCCTCAACCAGTATAT